CATCCTTTCTTTTTTTTTCCTTGAGATTAGTTGCTTTTTTCCACGAGCTCTTTTCGCGGTGGGTATACAGTCTGTGTCAATCACGTATTCCCTTTCGCTTAGGAACAACGCGTGCGCAACGCAAGGGCCTTGCATGCAAACCTTCAATCACTGGAGCCAATTTGAATGCCCAGGCCATACGCGCGCGAACGTCCGATAAAGCTATAAAACGTGGCGGTTGCGCATACGGGAAAGGGAGCACGTGATTGACACAGACTGTATTTATATCTACATGAAAGAACTCAGATGTTTGTTACTGTACATTATTTTCGTTTCGCTACGCAGGTGCCGCAGCCTGTAAAATGAATTTTATTTTTTCTTACTAAAATCTTTTTCATACAAGTATGCAATAGGTATACAGTAATATAATCAGATCTGGTAATTCGCTGGCCATCATAATAGCCTGTTTGTAGGGAAATGCCTCGTCCACAATTTTTTGTTGGACTTCGCAAGCACGGCGAGAAGTCTGTCTTTGCGAATGTAGAAAAAGAGGGAGATGATTATATCTGTGCCGATCCATCCATTCGAGTCTCCGTCCAGCTAACTTGTGTGGGTACTGTATCTTTTGTTACACTCCCAAGCTGACTTCGTTGGGAAATCCAAGTATAGTGAACCTCTTTATAGAACTCCTTGCATGTGGAATCGACTAACATCAATACTACCTTCTTGTCACCAGTATCTGACATCCGCGATCTGCATGATTCTGCCATCCAGTCGATGGACATCTCGTGCACAGGGAATCTCATTGTATCGTCGGATATCAGCGGGAATCTGATCATCTCTAATGTGATGAATGGAAGCCTTCTGGTGGGATTCTAACTTAGTCTTTTGTTGTGAGTTCTGGTGTGGCATCTTTCAGAATTTTTGCAAGTACCGCAAAACCTCAATGTTTTGATTATCTTATTGGGACCTCTAGAGATTTTCTTCTAATTTTTTTAGCGTGTATTAAAAGGCCACATAATGGACGTTTACAAATGTCGGTTTTTCCCTAGTGGTTTGGTTGTTCTCTCAGCTGGCATGGATATGTCGGTAAGGGTATGGTCAGTGGAGACAGGACAATGCCCGCGAGTATTCAGAGGGCATACCATGGGTAAGTTTTATGGCTCTGTCTTTCCATAGTGCCTCGTACTTATAATTAGCTACTGCTTAGTTCTTCTTTTTGCGCGATAATATATAGGGATTTTGATGGTGCAAAGCAAATTTTGAGTGCAAACAATCCATGCTCACTTTTGCACAATTTTGCTTGTTCAGCGGTCACAGACATTGCCATCATTGGCGTTGGTCGTGAAGTATTGTCATGCTCAAATGACGGCGCTGTGATCAAGTGGTTGTGTGCAGATGGATCACAGCAAGAATTATGGAGACTCGAAGCTGGACAGTGCAACGCTCTTGCTCTTGATCAAAGTAAGGCCGTTTGAGGCATTTGCTTGTTTAGTCGATGATGGCTTGAAGAGTGAAAATCTGCTTTACAGAATCGGAGATATTCGCTGTTGCATGTGAGGGGAAGAAGTGCATAGTTTGCTCCGTTGAAGGCCCAATCGTAAGTAAGCTACGTCGTAATATAGTAATCATAAAAATATCAATCATTACAGTAGTTAATATGTTAATTTGTTATTGTTAGTTGTTATTTTACGTAGTTGACTTTTGGTTCCTTCTTGAGTTCTTTTTTCCTCTACTAACGATTGCTGCGTACGCTTTGTGATTTGTAGTAGGCTCAGTTTACGGCAGTGAAGAATTGATGAGTTAGTATACGCATTCTTAGCCAAACTTGAAGACGGTGTGTGTATCGTGAAACGGCCTTTCCCGTTGTAGATGATGTGCGAGTGTTAAGTTGAAGCTTTGTTCAAGAGCTTGTGGTAATGTGAGATTGTCCTTCCTTGGACTTCAAAAAATGTTAGATGATTGGGAAGCTGTGACAATTAACTAGTTGTCGCGCAGGGAGGCTATGTGCTTCAACCATTCGCTCATAGAGAATGATTTGCCTCTCCATACGGCATCTCCAGAAAATACAGAAACCGTTCTCAGGGTTACTTGTCAGCCGCCTGA